TGCGAGGAATTCTGGGAGTTGAAGTCCACAAGCCTTCAAGTTGACAAGTCTTCAAACTGCCAGGAAATCTGGGGGTTGAAGTCCACAAGTCTTCAAGTTGCCAAGTTTGGGGACCCCTGTTCTAGCTTAACAATTAACAACTGGGACTGCCAGAATAGCTGTTGCTAAGCAGCGCAGATATGTGATTTTGCATCACCTAGCAACAATAATTCCAGTCCCAATTGCTATTTTTTTTAAAAAAAATACAACATTGAGGGGGATGGAGGTAGGAATCGAACCCACAACTCCAGGAGAAGACTCCCAGAGGGTTAAAAAAAAAACAGCAGCCACCTTTCAGGGAACTTGGTCAGTATTTAAAAACTGGATGGAGATAAATTCTGAACTAATAGTAGGAAAATACATGTAGTCCTCAACTTATGACCATTGACTCCAAAATTGATGGTAAGCAGGTTTTGCCCCATTTTTTTGACTTTTTTTTGCCACAGTTGTTAACTGAAACCACTGTGGTGGTTAAATTAGTAACACAGTTAAGTGAATCTGCCTCCCCCATTGTCTTGTCAAGAGGGTCGCAAAACAGGATCACATGACCTCAGGACATTGTAACCATAAATAGGAGTCAGTTGCCAAGCACCTGAATTTTGATCACATGACCACGGGGGACGCTGCAACGGTCATTAAGTGTGAAAATGGTCATAAGTCACTTTTTTCAGTGCCATTGTAACTTCAAATAGTCACTGAATGAACTGTTGTGAGGACTAACTCCGTTTTTCTCCCCAATTTGTGCTGGCAATGCTGGTGTTTCTACTGTTTATAACATTTTTTCCCTCCCAATATTTTTTTTTAACTTTTACATACAATAAATCCATTCCATTTCAACCGTGTGTCGATTAGGTACATATTCCGGGTGCTTACAATTTATATTAATACTCTTCTTATCAATATAGCAATAATCACATTCCCACATGAATAAAATAAGTAATATCCAATATATCTATTTCACCAGCTCCTCTTATTGCTTTATGTCTAATCCATTTTAATTTTTTTCCGTTTCTACAATTCTGATGTGCGGTTATTCCAGAGGTTATCAAACTTGGCAACTTGAAGACTTGTGGACTTCAACCCACAGAATTCCTGGCAGCTTTAAGACTTGGCAACTTTAAAGCCTTGTGGACTTCAACAAGAGTCAGATCCGTGTATCTGCCATTCTTCAATGGAAGAAGAAGGGGGGGAGTTGGTACAAGTAATCCTTTTTGATGTAACCTGAATATATTAAATCTTATATTGATTCTGTATAACTTGCATATGATATAAAACTGGAGGAGTGGAGCCAGATGTCTAGAAACTTGTCACCTCTTGAAGAGATGACAAAATGAGAAGAGACCATAAAAATTCCAGTTCTGGAAGACACTCCTGGGAACTCTGCTAAAATACGTTCTCGGAGAAGCGGAGGGGGGAATTAACATGTTGGTTCTTTGTTTGACTAAATCCCCATCTAAATAAGGGGAGGGATTCTAACTTCCTTTATCTATGACTGTATGCCTGGAAATATTTTAGGCTCTGCTTTGACTAGTGTTGGGACTAAATCCCTTTCAATAAAGAATTCCTTTTGAAACACCTAGTTTTCAGAAGTTCATTCTTTTCGGTTGAAGGGAAAAAGTCCAACACTTACAGGTGGGTCATATGTCGAGAGCTACCTGTATTTGCAGAGCATCTTCACCTTGGCAAGTCTTTTGTGACTTGGCACCTCAGATGCAGTTACAATTCAAAGTACTGGCTGAACTCCACATAGGAGTTTAAGCATTTCTTTTAGAAACTCAAGGAGGTCAGAGAGAACACCCCAGTTTCTACCCCACCCCCACTCCCAAATAGATTGAGCTATAAGAGAAGGACTGAATCAGAGTCAGAATAGATCTGGAAGGGACCTTAGAGGTCTTCTAGTCCAGCCCCCAGCTCAAGCAGGAGATTCCATCCAGAATTGGAATTGAATAGTTGGAAGGGACGTTGGAGATCTTCTAGTCCAGTGGTGGCTAACCTTTTTGGGCTCCTGTGTCAAAAATTGTGCACGCGCTTGCACGCTCGTGCTCGCGTGCCAGCACCCAGAAGGCAATGTGCCCCCCCCCCATTTGCATGTGCAGTCCGCCCACCCCTTACCTGCACTGCACCTCACAGCTGAGTTTCAGCCGGCTTGAGGCCTTTTTTTGGCCTCCCAAAGGCTTAAGGAAGGCTTCTACAGGCTTCGCAGGCCGAAAACTAGCCCCGTTTCATCACTTCCTGTTTTTCCGAAAATACCAGAAGTGACTAAACGGGGCTAGTTTTCGGCCTGCAAAGCTTGCAGAAGCCTGCAGAAGCCTTCCTTAAGCCCAAAGGCCGAAAAAGGCCAAAAAAGGCCTCAATCAGCTGTGAGGCGCGCACAGGCACAGTGAGGTAAGTTTGCCTGCAGCTCGCATGCCGGCACAAATGGCTCTGCGTGCCACCTGTGGCATGCGTGCCATAGGTTCGCCATCACGGTTCTAGTCCAACCCCCTGCCTAGGCAGGAAACCTTACACCACTTCAGACAAATGGTTATCCCACATCGTTTTAAACACTTCCAGTGTCGGAGCATCCACAACTTCTGGAGGCAAGTTGTTCCGCGGAGTAATTTTTCTAACTTTCAGGAAATTTCTCCTTAGTTCTAAGTTGCTTCTCTCCTTACCCTGCCTTCAGCAGCTTTGGAGAATAGCTTGACTCTCTCTTCTTTGTGGCAACCCCTGATTTCAGACAAGTCTCTCCTTCAACACCTCCAGCGTTGGAGCACGTACAACTTCTGGTGGCAAGCTGCTCCACAGGTGAACTGTCCTCACTCTTGGGAAGTTTCTCCTTAATCCCAGGTTGCTTTCTCTCCTCGGTTAGTTTCCACCCGTTGTGGCTTGTCCTGCCTTCAGGTACTTTGGAAAATAAGTTGAGCCCCTCCACCTCCTCTTGGTGGCAGCCCCTCAAATACTGCAAGACTGTTGCCCCAGTAGGACCCTCGTTTCCCCCCCCCCCACCAATAAGCTACCATGGTTAAGAATTATGGTTAATTCTCCTGGTTAAATAGGTGGCATGCATAAGCCTACCGTCCCTGCCCTATTGCTTCTTTTTATTTCTCTTCATGAATTCATAACTATGTTTATACTGATGATACCTATTATCTTGTAAGCGATTGACAAATAAAACAAATAAAATAAAATAAGAAGGGGGGGGGAGTAGAATTGGGTCTCCCCACTTCTTCCCCCATCCTGGCTCTGGGGCTGAAAGTGGGGGGACGGGACCGGACCAAAAGGTCCCAATAGCTTCGGTAGGTGAAGAGAAGTGGAGGGGTTTTTTTCCAGACCCTGGTTCCCATACACGCCCCCCAACCCAAAAACGTCTCCCCCGCCCCCTTGAAAATGGCTCAAGAGGCAACTCTTGAGCTGCGAGGAAGTCCATCTGCCTTGGATTTCCCGGGCTTTGGGGTTGGGAAGTCATTCCCCATCGAAATCAAAGGGGAGCGGGGGGGGGGTTCACTTTTTAACCCCTTTTGAGCCTTCGGACCCCGCGCTCCGAATTCGGCCACTCACCCGGATTCCTGCCGGAGACCCCCCGACTCGGAGACGAGGACGCCTCTTCCCCCACCCCTCCTTCTATTGAGGAAGCGGAGCTCGCTGCGAAGCCAGAAGTATTAAACAAATACAGCTGCTTCCGTGGGAGGGCTCTGAGCAGGAAGGGGTGAGGCTCCTCCGAGTCGAATAGCAAATTGCCTCCGAAATGCACTTTTTAAATTTCTCTCTCCCCCCCACATCCCGCCATTGCGGTGGGGAGGGGGCAGAGGGGAGCTTTTGAAAGAGCTTTCCGTGCGGTGATTTTTGCAAAAGGTTTCCCACCCAGAATTAATTTATCTATCTATCTATCTATCATCTACACATCAAATCTCTGTATCTTTAGCTATCTGTATTTCTATATATCTCCACATCTATCTGTCTGTCTATCATATCTATGTATCATACCTCTATATATCTCTCTATCTCTATTTCTGTATATCTACCTATCTATCATCTACATATCATACCTCTATATCTTTAGCTATGTGTATTTCTGTATATCTCCACATCTATCTGTCTATCTATCTGTCTGTCTGTCTGTCTATCATATCTATGTATCATACCTCTATATCTTTATCTCTATTTCTGTATATCTATCTATCTATCTATCTATCTATCTATCTATCTATCTATCTAT